CCTCATACGGGCACAAAAATCAACATCGGCACCCAGAGGGGCAAAATCGTAATTTTTGACTTCCTGGTCGAAATTCCATTTTTCGACCGGACTAACTCCAAACGTATGTGGCCAGTATAATATGACGTCAGAATCGTGAAAATAGTCGTGCAAGCCTTCGAAAATTGGTATCAAAGTCCGGGTCCAATTTCGTGACCAAAACTCGCTCGATTTCCAATTTCATGGTCTCTCACTAACGGGCGGCTGTCTAGAGGTTACGCGTATCGACCTAGGGTTATCCGAGTCATGACGGTCCTGATTATTGAGAGAATGAGAAATTATCACTAATCCCAGAGGTCACGATCGTCCGGTTTAAGTTCAGGACTGGTTGGCCACGTGCACTTTCGGTCTTGCAGAATCACCTGCGATCCGATTGTACATCGTTGGCCTTGGCCAAACCAAATCCGTTACTTTTCCTAAGATCGATCCACATTGGTTCATAATATTCTCTCATCATTTCTCGTGATCGGTGTCCGCTTCGTGATCGGATCCTTGGTCCACGTACCGCTTTCTAGTTAGCCTTACCCTATTGGTTAATATCCCGAGAGCGATCAGCTCTGGGCGAGACTTACTAAAATGAAATGCGAAATATTGTCAATTTTATTGATCCCGGAATTACATCGAAATTCGGGCTGTTACAGTAATGTTGAGCAACAACGTTCAGTGGAGTTTCCCTGCTTAATATCAGAAAAACCAAAAGATATCCCTACCTCCTCAGCCATTACACCCAACGCATAGCAACTATCCACATATACTAATGAAACTTTGTCAGCTGCGTCCATACAAAAATATAACGTAAGCAAATGTAACGCATAGCAAATAGCTACATATACTATAAATCTATGGGAAAGCAAAAGATAGAGGCAAGTTTCATTTTGCAATTTTTGCCTCCTTTGGGATTGTCTGTATTATGTAACTTTAGTTCATTATTCTGGCAAACCAGACATATAGCACCGGGAGGTTTATTATGTAATGCAGAATTTAGTAGTTCCTCGTATTCACGATTCAACTTCAAGTAAAGAAAAGTTTGAGGGCTACATCCATCTAATCAGGCAAAGGTACCAGAAAATTGCTTGGGAGTTAAAATAGACCAAATTCAACCTTACATGATGTACCTAATGATGAAACAGAAAGGAAAATACAAATGTTCAGTACACGGTTGCTACCTGCTCATCATTTATTTACCATATCTAGTCATGAGGTTCTTGTGCTGAGTCATCGTTGTTGATCGCTTGCTGGTGGGCACAGAAACCATCAGCACTGGAGAGCTTAAACCTTTGCCCTGGATCAAAGGAAATTAACAAAGATGGTAAAGCATATGGTTAAAAGATAAAAAAATAAATAAATAAAGCCATAGCTGCAAGAACTTACATATATCAGAAATATAGTCGCGAAGCTTGCATATTTATGTACTTCTCACTAGCAGCAGATGGAGACTTCTCGAGTGCAGTGATATTCAACAATAAGGAAGACAAATTCTCATCAGTCTTGGCCAAAGATGACATGGTTTTGCTATATGATTCCTGACAGAAAGCAAAAGAATCATAAATATAATCAGGTCCTCCAACTTCAAGGAGGAAAGTGTTTTCTTCATACATCAGGCCAAATAATGGATTGATGAATCTTGAAAAGACACAGGGATTCAGCAAGCAAAAGGATAGTGACAAGGTCTAGAAGGGCATAAGAACTCATTCTCTCTCTTAGCAGGCAAAAGATTCCAATCCATGCTATACAAACAAAAGGAGAAAGGTCTGGAAACAAAACAAAACAGAACAGATTACCTCCAGCCTCCTTGCATTATCGCACAGAGCCTTCATAGCAAGCTCAGCCTGCTGCGGAATCGACATAACATCCAACCCCAGCCCAGCAACCATTGCCCCTCCTATGCTTGGAGGAGGAAGGGCAGCTGCCCCAATGCTTGGTGCAGAACCATAACCCGCTGCAGGAGCTGTATATGCATACCCGCTGCAGGAGCTGTATATGCATACTTCTGTGGCTGCTGCACATTATGCACCACACGGACAGTACTAACGTTACTGGTGCTAGTAACTCGCCTCATAGTTCCATCATCCATTCTCTTCCCTAATCCCTTCCTAAACTGTTCCTCCTCCCATATCTTTTCCTCCTCGTCCTCATCGTCCTCAAGCTCAGTCTCTTTTCTTAAAGGTGCATCCACCAACCTATCGTCGAAACTCTCGAAAACACCCTTCTTTCCACCCTCAATCTTCTCTCTGAACATGGTGATTCGACCCTGAAACTCAGGGTCCTCTTCGCTCAACCCCTCAGCCGCGCCGTGATTACTCCCTCCATCCAGCAAAATATAGTCCAGTGCAGCTGCTCGCGATTGCCTCAGCCGTTCTTTCTTCGCCCTTATTGCATTCATCATTGCCTGATCAGGAAACAATGACCCGGACAAATCCTGCCCCTTCGTGATTCCAATCGCAGCCAACCGTCTCTCTACATCATCTCTATACAAAACGTCCCTTTTCTCCTCCAACGCCTTTCCCTTTTCTCCCTTTTCCTCATCAGAGCTCAATTCATCCATTTGCCTCAATGTTTGTTCGACTATGGAATTGGGTTTCACAAGACCCTTCAAAACAATGACGAATTCAGGTCTAGGGTCGGCATAGGACTCCAATGCCACAGCATAGCGAGAGCTGCTCGATGAAGCGAGGGTCTTTGTGTTCTTTTGGAGCTCACGCAAGGCTTCTTTGGTGTAGGTGCCAGCTTGAGGAAGGACATTCGAAGGCAAAGGAGTGGCGGGTGATTGGCGGTCCTTGAGGGAAGATATTTTGTGAGAAGAAGAGGAGGAGGACAAAGGTTTGCCGGGGCGAGAAGAGGGTCTGGAGCGAGAGCAAGGTTGGGTTTTGTCGTGGCCGTCACCGTCGGCGAAGCTGAGAAGCTTCAGGGCTTGGGGTTTCTTCGGTTTAGGAGGAGCTTTGGTGGCTGCGGCGGTGGATTTTGATGGGATCTTTGCGCCGGTGGCAGCGGCTCCGTTAAGTTCGTCATCGTCGTCTTCATCTTCATCATCGCCGGCAGGGCGGCGGAAGCTTTGGTTGCTGCGGCCGTGGATTTGGAAAACCTACAGACAAGCTGTTAGCAGTTGCACAAATAATATTGCTACTCTATTAAACCAGGAAAGGAGATATCGCCATCATGGACAGAAATTAAATCACAAATATGAGCGTCTTGCCACGGTAAGTATCACTCATGTCAAAAACTAATTTCGGCTTTCAGTTCTTCCACAAAAAAGACAAATCACTCATAAAACTACTCGATCTTAAAATGGAAAGAAAATGCAGGAATGAACTTAAATGTTGAATCCGCTATTGAAAACCAAGGCTTAATCCTTAAAGAAATGGAGGTACAAATAGCAGTTTAAACAATTCTGTTTTAAACAAATACGTGAGGCTTGCAAGCTTTGTCTACTTCCAATTGTCTGAACCCAAGTTATCTCAAGAGGCTCAAGTTCCATAAACTGCTGCCAATGCATATGAAGCAAGAATAACACGGTCACCGACGGAAGCACCTATCGAGGGACCCCATATGAGTATATAGATGATTTGATTATATAATCATTACGAGTTCTCAAAGAATCAAGGAAACCATTTGACAAATGAAACACAGAAAAATTAACTGAGCTCCTCTTCCATTTTCACGACCTCTCTGTCCATAACGAGTCTGAAATGGAACTCCATTCTGCTGGTGAAAAGAGAAAATCCGTGTCAAAACACCTAGCTTCGATTTATTAAGCAGTTTCGGTGAGACAAAGACTCATACAAGCTCAAAGGCTTACAAATTACCGCAGAGTGGAAGACTCGTACAAAAACTTTGACCCACACAAAAAGAGAAATAACTTTCATATTACCAAAGTGGGAAATGAAAATTGAAAGTTTTTTTAATCACAAAAAAGCATTTTAATTATAGGCTTCAGGCCAGTAGTCACTCACATGAATAGATTATTTGTGTTATTTACACGATAATCAATGATAAGAACACAGCGCAACAAGTACACGTCAGGCTTCAGGCCAGCAGTAATTCACATGAATAGATTTATCTCGACGTGCCTTATATACTCAGCATAATTTTTCAGAGACCGCTACGTAGATGCAGAATCTTAAGATCAGAATGAAACTATGCGCAGATGAACAAAAATACAAGTACATCAGCTAATAAGGAGATTATGCTCTCGGACAAGTGCCATGTGCGTGCAAATTTAAAATATGCAGATAGAGAATACGACCTTATAACCAACACGTGCAGGTGGAGGCAAAGGCAATATAGGAGGTTGAGCTTCTGATGCAACCGGTGCCAATGGCTTCGATGATGATGGTGAGACTTGAACCACCTCCACATCCTTGTGAGCAATTTGTGAAGGTTAAGACTGCAGAAGCTGACCAGGCGTTATCGATGAAGGTATTGGTGTTGGTTTTGGCATCTGTATAGGAGCTTCTGGATTGACAGCATTGGATGGCCCCAAAACGGAGGAAGTGGGTTGAGGAGTACTTTGATACTGCAAGGTTGGACCAGCGAATACATTGGGCTTGTTAGATATAGGGGGAATTATGTTGCTAATCTCCTGACCAGTAATCATCAGAGGAGGGAGTGATGGCAAATTAGCACTCAGACTGACTGCAGGAAGGGCAGTCGGTGCCTTATTGAGCATGACACTCGGTAGGGAATCTGAAGATGTTGCAGCAGATGGAACAGTAGAGAGAGTTGATGGCAGAGTAGCAGATGAGGAAATGGAAGTCATGCTTAGGGAACTGCTGCTAACAGGAAGCAAAGGAGATGGGACGACCTCTGGCAAGTGTGGACCTGGCAAGTTCAAAGCTCTGGCAGGGAAAGAAGCATTAAAGCCAGGATACTGCATCGGCTGCTGCAGAGAAGGAGGCATAGACAGCCCTGGTGGTGGCCGAAGAAGCAGAGTCTGCTGATATATATGAGGAAGCCCACTGGGTGTTGGAGCCGATATCGGTTGAGGGTCCACTAGCAGCGGGAGGCAAACTTGTAGAGGTTGAGACCGGACGAGGGTAGTGAGACTGCCAAAATGTCGAAACACATCAATGTGATTCCATTTGAAATAATTAAGAGTAAAAATGCGATCTTTTAAGCACCTGTATGATTGCTGGGTCATTATCGATGGGGGGTGCAGGTGCAGGCTGAACAGGTGGAGAGGATTTAACCTGCAAATCCTGCAAAAAGAGAAGCACAGAGAACTTAGCTGACGAGAGAACATGAGAAACGAAAACTTATCTACATTAACGGTACGTATCACATCCGAAGGAAAGGCCAAAGGAAGAATAATAAGCGAAGGGGTAAAACTACTGCATGAAAAGGATTATGTAACTATGTCAACCATTGTTAAACAAGTGAGCTGGCTTCAGATTATACTTCCAACTGCAGCTTCCAAATGAAGAAAATGGGAAGGACGAACAGAATTCAGAAATAGTTTAAGCCAAGCCACATGAAAAGGGATTCTGTGACCATTGTTTTTTTGTCAGTACATGAGACGGCATGATATTCTACTTACGATTCTAGCTTCCAATTGGAAGAAGAAAGGAAGGACGAAACACAATATAGGCTTTGTTTAACGCAAGCCACACCGAAAGGCTGATGCAACCAGAAATTACACAGAAATTATGCATCCTGAATTTGTGACTATGACGTGGCTGATGCAGATGAAGAGAACGACCGTTGAACGCCCCGAGTTAATAACCTTTTTGGGGATTGTATTTTGGAATTTGCTTGAAGATAATAAAACAAACACTCGTTCTATTGTCATCACTGCGAACAAACGTCCATGCATGTATTAACATACCTTGATGTCACTTCCTCGGAACAATATGTATTCAAAAAGTTTGTCACTTGGTGGGACTTGTGGTCCATCTTCTTTACGTCCTTCATAATTATAAATGACCGTACTGCCATATAATTATACATTAATACAAATGACCGTACTGCCAAAAAGGAAGGAAAGGGACGACTCAACATCAATAGATAATGGTCCCGGCAAATTCGACAAACAGCATTTATCAGGAACAAACAACAGTAATTACTAGTACTCCGCGACAGACCCGAATGGTTTGCGGCGCACGGTGTTGGAATAAGTATTTACAGGGGATAAAAACACAATACAGGCATCCCAAATATTTAAATCGAGTGTCGAGCACTTTCAGCAAAACCAGCTATTGCAAACAAAGGGAAAATGACACAAATAGTCCCTGAACTTTGACCCAATGTGCAATTTGGTCCCTGAACTTTTAATTTGTTCAATGTAGTCTATGAACTTTAACCTAATGTTCAATTTGGTTCATGAACTTTTGATTTGTTCAATGTGATCCCTAAACTTTTAATATGTGTTCAATTTAGTTCTTGAACTATTTGAAAATGTTCAATATAGTCCTTCCATTAATTCAAGTGCAGGGACTATATTGAACATTTTTATATAGTTCAGGGACTAAATTGAACACATATAAAAAGTTCAGGGACCACATTGAACAAATTAAAAGTTCATGGACCAAATTGCACATTATGTTAAAGTTCAGGGACTACATTGAACAAATTAAAAGTTCATGGACCAAATTGCACATTAAGTCAAAGTTCAAGGACTATTTGTGTCATTATCTCGCAAACAAACATATGCAGACAAAGAGTAAAATCGCCCAACAGGATGAAACAAGCATTGGCTACCCTCAATGCCACAATTCCTGAACTTTGACCCAATATACAATTTGGTCCCTGAACTTTTAATTTGTTCAATATGATCCATAGACTTTTGGTACATGTTCAATTCGGTCCTTGAATTATATGAAAAATGTTCAATGTAGTCTCTGAACTTGAATTAATGAAAGGACTACATTGAGCATTTTCATATAGTTCATGGACTGAATTGAACATGTACAAAAAATATTTAAACTTACTAATCCGTTAACTTTCTTATTAGTTATTCACATGTGCGAACGTCGTGATAAGCGTTATCAATGGATATATTGTAAAGAGAATGGGTTTGACTCTACGACCTATTAACTAGTAATTAATTATCAGTGTTTATTATTACCACCCCTGTTTTTCTTTTTTCTTTTTTAATTACATCCAACACTTTATAGCATTAACTACAATACTTTAATTAACCTATGCGAATAGTGGAAATCCAACCCGCGTCTTCTCCTTGGCAAAGAGAAATTTTACCATTCGGTTATATCTGTATCTTTTTTGTAATGCCAGAGGAATCATTACCACATGGCAATAAGGGGAAGGTCATCGCAAGGATGTGTTTTCATAGGCGAGTTAACAATAATATGGATCTAATTCTAAAAAAAAACACCAACTTTCCCTTAAGTGACAATCCTGATCTGGGTTTTTTTTTGTTTTATAAAAAATCACAAACTTTCACATAAATCTCAAATCTGGTTCGAATAATTTAAAAATTTTACTTCACGGGGGCCAGATTTGAGACTCTAGTAAAAGTTGGTACTTTTTATTGAGGCAAAAAATAGTTAGAGCCAGAATTGTCACTCAATGTAAAGTTTGTGTTTTTTTTTTTTGGAATTAGCCCCAATAATATGTGCAGTACAAAGTCGTGAATTGTTAATATATTTCGACCAAATAAAGGCATGAAGTGGCTATGTCAGTTTCAAATAAGGGCCTGACATCGCCGATCGCAGCGGGCTAAATATTTCGACCGGCCAAGGGCGTTTTCGTTGAAAGAAAATTTTAATTTTAATTTTAAATTATTTTTTATTTTTATTTTTTTCTTTTCTATTTTTTCATTTCTTTTTTCTTTTTCATTTCTGGCGAGGGCAACCCTCGCCCAGGGCAAGGGTCGACTCGCCCAAGTGAGGCCGTCCCTTGCCTGTGGCCAGTGAGGGTGACCCTCGCCCAACCCTCTCTGGGTATCTTTGGTGGCCGGTGACTAATGAAGAAATAAGAAAAAACCAGAAATTTACCTAGAGACTCTCTTAAGATATGGTGCATGGAAATTAAACTTTCTTGTTTTATGGATGTATCACTGCACTTATATGCATGATACATAGTTATATCTAAACATAATAATTTAATTTTAATTTCGAGACACGTCATCTCTCAAGAACTTACACATCCTTAAGGGTTGCGACTCTGCACAATACTTGCAATTTGTATCATGACTTGAGTACGTTTGTCCAACCGTTGCCATGATAAGATATGGTAAATAAAGGATGAGAAGGTAGCAACTGTGTACTCGGCTTTATGGTATCCAAGACTGCACGAAAAACTCTAATTAATTTCAATGCATTTTTTTTTTTTTGGTAAGGAAATTCAATGCATGTTATACAACGTATAAATGAGAAGTTTGCATTGGCTAGTCAATCAAATATTAGGTTTTCGGAGGAGAGAATGGATCACATGAAAATCCTAGATTCGAGAATAGAGCCTCCACATTCTTATGCGATGCAATTTTTCTTTGGACCACATAAGAAGACATCATGAGCCAATCTGCTATTGAACTGGGTTTATCCTGCGACAAGAATAGGGGATTCGCAAGGAATGCCTTCTTCGTGGCTTAGCCTTAAAAAATGCATCGGGTAGGGACCGGACAGGACCGAACCAAACTTAGAAACCCAGATTTCTCGACATGCAAGATCCCAATTATTTTACCACCCGATCAAGCCTTTAAAGCTCCGCGAGGGCAACATAGCAGCTAATAAGGTAGGAGGAATTGTCAACACATAATTTTGTGTCATCCTTATAAGTATCATACTGTAACAAGACAAGATTGTCAATAAAGAACGAAGAGTAAAGCTCGACAAATAAACCATGATGCACCACGAAACTCCCCCCAAAAAGGCCAGAGTCAGCACCACTTTTGTGTTGAGGAAAACTCCTATTAATTTTGAAGTTGACAAAACCTTCTATGTTATTGTAAATCTGATACTTATTCTGAACTATTCCAGGTCTGTATATTCTGGAAGCTCAGAAGAAAGTTATTCAGACTTTACAATCTGTCAAGTATATTTCAAGACCCACATAATCGCAGCTTCGAGATTCGAAGCGAAGTTATTCGAGATGCGAATGCGTGAGTTATTCGATGCGATGCGACGAAGAAATTATTCGACGAAGAAATTCGTTAGACGCAAAGAAATTATTCGACGCAGAAATTCTTCGGACGCAGCACGCAGAGTTCTTCTCGATGCGACGCGCATCTTCGCACGAATTCGAACGTAACACAACAAGTAGTGATCCGGCATGGATTTCACGAAGGAATGTTCGATTGTCTCAATCAATCAAACCGATTGACAATCAAACATCATGACAAGAATGCATTACAACGGACAAAGTTCTACTTATGGAAACCAAGATTCTGATTGTATGGGCGACCAGAATCCGGCGGGATTCAGACAACCAACGGCTACTCAATCCTTACTATACAAATCTGTCCAAGGTAAAGATTGGAAGATGATCCTCTCGAAAGCGTCCAACGGCTAGTTTGGAAGCGAGGAATATTTAAGGAGATCAACGAGCAAGCAGGAAGGGAGTACGTAATCAAGAATCAACAAGTCCAAAGTCCGAGCTTAATCCAATCATTTTTCTCTTGTCATTCTGAGCCAAATATTAAGATCTTGAGGAACACTTTGTAAGAGTGATTGTGTGAGATAGAGAGTCCTATCATACACAAGAGTGTAAACACTCAGAAGTTGTAACTCCTCTTGATTACATAGTGAAATCCAGCCAGTAGGCTGTAAGCGTGGGAGAGTGGACGTAGGCTTGCTATAAGCCGAACCACTATAAACTTGTGTGCGATTCTCTATCCCTTATCTCTTACTTTACATTCTCGCACATCAAGAGCACAGCCTATATAATCTGTCTTGAATCTGAATTTTATTCAGACTCTTCGTGATTTATTTTGTTTCCGCATAAATTACTAAAAATTGTTTTAGATCACCTATTCACCCCCCTCTAGGTGATCCTTGCTAGCTACATCAATTGGTATCAGAGCGGGTTGCTCGGTTATTGAAGTGTTTTACTTCTGAGCTAACGATCTATATGGCTAGCTATGGTGCTCCAGGGCTCATTGAAGGACAGAGCAACAACAGACCACCATATTTCGATGGCAAGGAATATAGTGTCTGGAAGAATAAGATGAAGGCATTCATAAAGTCAATTGACCACATGCAATGGGATGTCATCATCAGAGGTGTCAATCCAAAGTCTTCTGATTCAAAAGAAAAGGCAGATGCAAGCAAAGCAGCAGATCCTCCATTATCTCAAACTGAGATATCCAAAAGAGAAACCTTAGACTCCAAAGCTATTTATTCTCTTTATTGTGCCTTATCACCTATTGAATATAAAAAAATTGCTGCTTGTGAATCAGCTAAGGAAATCTGGGATACTCTTCTTATTACTTATGAAGGAACAGATCGAGCCAAGGAAACTCAAATTAATCTTCTGCTTGGTCAATATGAATCTTTCAAAATGAAGCCTGAAGAATCAATTGCTGATTTATATGACAGGTTTACTGATATAGTAAACGGTCTTGCTTATCAAGGACAACCAGTTCCAGATGCACTGAAAGTCAACAAACTTCTGAGAGGACTGACAAATCAGTGGGACAACATCAAAACATCTCTTCGAGAGACACAAAGGATCAAGCCTCTATCAGTGAATGAGTTAATTGGAACTCTTCAATCATATGAGACTGAGAAACGAAATGAGAGAGATTGAATCCAAAGGTAATAAATCAATTGCGTTGAAGACTAACATTGATTCCGATGCATTCTCAAGATGAAGACGTTGATGATGAAGAACTAGCTCTATTTATAAAGAAGTATAAGAAAATGAAGATCAAAGGAAGAAACCTCAGGGGAAAGAAGCCTTTGAAAAGAAGAAATCTTTCGATGAGACAGAAAAGATCGAAGG